CAGCAGGACATCCCCTAATCTGTGCTGGTGCCTGGTGTTATTCCTCCCCAGACGCAGGACTCTACACGTGTCCTTACTGAACTTCATGAGGTTCCCCTTTGCCCAGCTCTCCAGCCTGCCCAGATCTCACTGGATGGCAGCACAGCCTGCCTGGGTGTCAGCCACCCCTCCCAGTTTCTTATCATCAGTGAACTTGCTGAGGGTACACTCTATCCCCTCATCCAGGTCACTGATGAAGATACTGAACAAAACTGGACCCAGCACTGATCCCTGGGGAACACCACTGGCCACAGGCCTCCAACTTGACTCTGTGCCGCTGATCACAACCCTCTGAACTCTGTTGCTGAGCCAGTTCACAATCCACCTCACAGTGCAATCATCCATCCCACATTTCTTGAGTTTGCCTACAAGGATGTTATGGGGTACAATATCGACAGCCTTACTGGAGTCGAGGTATATGACATTCACTGCTCTCCCTTCATCTACCCAATCAACTAGCTACAGCGCTTGAAGTCCACCTTGACCGGGTTGTTTCTTTGCCACTGATGGGAAGATGGTCTGGATGGGTACATGCAGGCTCGATGAGCATGGAGTAGCTCAGCTGCAGGTGCCAGTACAGCCCAGCTGACTCGCTTCTTCACTCCCCCTTCACTCCTCCAAATGGACTCCAGATGTGTTTGTGGCTCTTCCCTCTTCAGTACGCTTCCCAGCTTCCAACTCACCATTGCTGCTCTTTGGGAAAAGCAAAACCCGCGGCCCTTACACCCGCTAGCTGCTTAAGAACTATGCGTCCCAGAAGATCAGTCGCGTGGACCACCTAGGTATGCCATACACACACCCCTTCTGAGACACAACAGCAGAAAATCACCACAGACAGCCTTTATACTGAAGATTTCCTAAACTGGGCAAGTCTCAGGTCCATCCCTTAAATAAGCCCCACTGTCCCTCTCACCGAGGAGTTTATATCTCTCCTGCACAGCCACTTTCCCATGTCTGTCTCTGTTCTCACAGATTCTGCTCTCGGCACTCCCTACCTTTCCATTCTCCTATTTCAAGGAGATGTAAGAATTATTACTACTTCTTGTAGCATTTATCTCAATAATGAGGCAATAAACAAGAAAAAGGCAACTAAATGTCAATTTCAAAACAGAGATAGTATAAACAGAGGCACAAGCACAGTCTGTGATACCAAACAGAAATCAGAAGTGGTATATTGAGGGTTGTCCAAGCAGACACATCTTGAAATTCAGGAGCATGAACACAGCGGGAAAATTATTTAAGAATTTTACTGATAATCACAAGATTCTTAAAAAGCAGTCTTGAAAATTAATACATGCTTTGAAATCTTGCTTTGGCACTGTGAAAGAAAACACAGAGAAACTGCCAGTCTCCAGACTCAGAAATGCAGCCTTGCCGTGTTTAGAAGAAAATAAACACAGTCAAAGACGAAATAAGCATTTTCACATCTTACTAGAGTTTCCTATGGATATAAGTCTGGTAAACATTCCTTATCAAGCTACTAAGTCATATGCACCTTAAACCATTAAACTTACAATCTAGTCTTCATAATCATTCAAATCACCCTAAAAGAATATCAGCTGAAGATTGAACATACTGGTTGAGCATCCATAACTAAATAGAAGCTAACAGCGCTTTCAAAATAAACTTTAAAATTAATCTTCAAAGTATAATAGTAAAGATGAACAGTGCTATGTAGTTTACTTAAGAACTAGGAGGTGAGGCAAATCTGAGACTCTGTCTCAATGTATGAAATCGTGTCAATTGGAATCACAAAGTACTTATTTGCTTATTAATTAGGTTTGGGTTCTAGTAGCCAGTCCAACATTAACAGAGCTCTACCATTATCCATTACACAATTACATCGGATGATTGTGCCAGATGGAAAGTTGGCTGAACTTAACCGTACATGCTCTAGCAAAACAGAACAATATGCAGAACCTGGAATTTAATATTACATGTTCATTTTCCATTGACCACTGGAGACTTCAACTTTAAACAGCATGAACCGACAGCATTTAAGCACCACAGCTTCTCATTTTCCAGCCTGCTCTAACCATTTGTGGTGCAGACAAACTGAATCACAGCAGGAGGGACTGAGTCAACAAGGAAACAATTACACAGCATGGAATTGTTTGGGATACCACAGGATGACAGATTTCACCCAACATAATCAAAAGCAAAGTATCTTTTACATAGAATATCTGGTAAAACAATCACAAATTGTGTCCAAGTTTTTTGTTCAAATTTTCATCTAGGGATTTTTTGCTTAGAAAAGCCTGGTTACCTGCCCTAGTGCAGCTATAAGGGTTTTTGAAAAATGAAAAATCAATCATTCTTGCAATGATACAGCTTTAAGTATCCTTTGAATGACATAGCTTTATTCACACATATCTGCACATCATTTATTAATGCAATAAAGTGAAATCTCAGTCTCTACATAACTGCTTAGGACAAACCACAGTAAATCGGAGACCTTATTACCACCTTTCAGTACTTAAAGGGAACCTGTAAGAAAGATGGGGACAGTATTTTTAGCAAGGCCTGTTCCAACAGGACAAGGGGTAACAGTTCTCAATTAAAAGAGGGTAGATTTAGACTGGATATAAGGAAGAGAATTTTTACAGCATGGTGGAACACCGGCACAGGTTGCTGAGAGAGGTGGTGGAGGCCCCATCCCTGGGGACATTAAAGGTCAGGTTGGACAGGGCTGTGAGCAACCTGATCTAGTTAAAGATGTCCCTGCTCACTGCAGGGGCTTGGGCTAGATGGCCTTTAAAGGTCCCTTCCAGCCCAACACATTCTATGATTCTACAACTTTAGTTAAGAGAAAGAAAAAACAGTAAAATTCATTGAGTGAATCTGCTAGGTGGCTTTGGTATGTTGGAAATAAACAAGTTTCTCACAGTATTCCAGCCATACTATTTTAAAAGATTATTTAGGATCCCTAGATTTTCTTGTTTTAACTTGCTGATTTTCTTTTCCAAATGGTACACTCTTAGCACAGCAATTTTGAAACTTATGTTGCCACAACAGGACTGAATAGAAAGAACGATCTGCTACGGGAATCCTTAATTTTGGCCCAAATCAGAGCCACAAGGTGTATGCCATTGCTTTCTCTCTAAATATAATTAATTCTCATTCTGAGAGGGAACTGAACTTTAGAATATTCCAAGACAGTAGTGAACCTTCACTAAAGTAACTTTGTAGAGCTTTTCTTTTTTTCTTTCTCTGCTCAAGCAGAAGTGTGACCAGGCCCAGAGTACAACTAGAGCATCACCACAAATGCATTCACGGCTGTACTTCAAGTACTGCAAATTATTTGGTGGAGCAAGAACCTGACCCTCTGTAGTATTTCTGCGATATTTAAGGCTTATCATGATAAGTAAATTCACATAAAATTGTGTGTAACTGAGCGTGTCTGAAATGTAATGAGGAAACTCTTCATCCACTTTTGCATGTCTTAGTGACAACGCTGTGCCGAATTTAGTACCTTAGCAGATTTTTGAGACAATACACAACACTTCACAATCACAAAATGGAGAACCCTGTGGAAATCATTCATAATGATGTAAACTGTGTTTTCCAAGCGCTTTCTAAATTTCTTCCTTCTTTTTAAACAGAAGTCATGCAAGGTATGAAAGGAATACTATCAAATACACGTTTTGAACTTCAGTGATTGTTAGTGCTTTTCACATCAATCTAAGTTGATGGTAAGTTCACCTTGGTTTACACCACATGATAATGCAGAATTAAACCTTTACTCTCACTTGATATACAAAATTTACAGTGTTCTGCATGCCTCTTGTAGCCTGGCTACAGTGATACTAAGCACATATTGCTAAAAATTA